CTGCGTGCAGGCCGAATGACGCGAGCAAGCCGCGGGGTGGGGGCCGGGCCTCCGCGCTCCCGCGGGAACTCACCCGCCTCGGCCGTCTAGCCGGCCCCCGGCCGGGCCGCGGACTACAGCTCCCTTTGCACAGCCACTCTAGCGCCGCGTCCTCTCTAGCGCCCGTCGTCTCGCCTGCTCCGCAGCCTCGCTCTCGTCCGGGGGGCCCCCTCTCAACAACGCCCCTCCCACCTTCCGCCGCGGCCGCCGCGCAGACCGCACAACGCGCCCAATCACCGACCGTCTGGCCCTGCCGCTAGACCAATCGGTGCTCACGTTTCTCAGGCCTCTACCAATAGCGCGGGGGGGCGGGACCAGACGGCATCCAGCCAATCCGCTGGCAATATTCCCTCACCGGTCGGCCTCCAGGTGGGTAGTGCCCGCCCCCTTAAGCCTCCCAAGAGGCTTCTTTCCTCCCTCGCTCCGTTCCTCGGACTCCGCCTTTGACGGTCGAAAGGGCACCGCTGAACGGAGGGCTGCGCGATGACGTCGGGAGGCGGGGCGAAGCGGTGGGCGCCATCTTGGGGGCGCCTGGCAAGCCTCGGCCTGGGGGCCTTGGGCAGAGTGTGGGCTATTGAGGCGAGCAATGCTCTGGAGGCCGGGGAACTGCAGCCCGAGGACCCCCGAGGGCCGGTGGCAGAAACTGAAACACCACTCGGCATGAGTCAGACCGAGTGAAAGGGGGAAACCAAGGCTAAAGACTTTATTTTCTTATTAAGCGGGGGTTGATGAAGGGGGGGGGATAAGGAAGGGTGGGATGGAAAGGGAATTTTAGGAGAGTTAAGTCTAGGGGAAGAGGAGAACCAAAAGTACGCGACAGGAATTGGGAAATGGAAGGAGAGAGAGAAAGGAAAAGCTCGGTTAGTAAGTTCCTTTGGAAGAAGCTGAGGTTGTGGGGTGGAGATCCAGAGGAAGGAAGTGGACCGGAAGAGGGTCAGTTTCGGGTTTCTTGTTCTTATTTTTGAGACAGTCTCACTATGTAGACCCGAGTGGTCTCAGAGATCTGCCTGGCTCTGCCTCGTATTTTGGGGATTAAAGGCACGCACCATTCCTCTCTCAAGGTGACGTCCTCCCACACAGTTCAGGACCCCTAGGCATGGGAAGGAATGGAGGCCAGCCAGGGTTACACATAAGAGACCCTGTTGCTGGGTGTTGGCGCACACCTTTAATCCAGTCGGGAGGCAGAGGCAGGTGAATCTCTGTGAGTTCAAGGTCAGCCTGGTCTACAGAATGAGTTCCAGGACAGTCAGGACTTCACAGAAAAACCCTGTCTCAAACAGCCAAGAAGAGAGACCTGGTATTGAAAAACAAACAAACAAACAGAAAGTAAAGAGCCAGTGAGATGGTTCAGCCCGTAAAGCAACTTCCTTCCAAGCCTGATCCTGAGTTTTTACCTTGGGAATCCACAAGGTGGAAGGAGACCTGAAAACTCTTTGTCTTTCAAGAGAGTTTTAAAACTCCAGGTTTCAGACTCAGAAGGACAAACATAGTGTGTACTCACTCATAAGTGGATACTAGATGTGAGGGAAGGGATGGCCAGACTGTAACCCACAGCTCCAGAGAGGCTAGCTAACAGGGGAAGACCCTAGGAGGGACACATGGATGACCCAGCAAAGGAGAAGTGGAGATCTACATGAGCGGACTGGGTGTGGGGGGTGGGGAGGTGGCGGAGGGCGAGGAGTAGGGGATCAGAACTTAAGGAAATGGGAGGGTTGAGCTGGAACAGGGACAGAGTGGGAGGGCAGGGATGGAGATACTATGATAGATGAGGACATCATGGGAATAGGAAGAGGCAGGGTGCTGGGAGGTTCTCAGGAATCCACAAGGATGACCCCACCTTGGACTGCCGGCAGTGACCGAGGGAGTGCCTGAACGGGTCTACTCTGATGACCAGTCTAGCAAATAACCTAGCTGTCATCATAGAGCCTTTGTCCAGTGACTGATGGAGGCAGATGCAGAGATCCACAGCCAGGTACCAGGCTGAGCTCTGGGAATCCAATCGATGAGAGAGGAGGGATTCTGCAGGCGAGGGACGTGGAGATGATGATGGGAGGACATGTAGAGATGACCGGCCACAGTGGAGGAAGCCCCCTCCATGAACTGTGAACTGGTGGCTGGAGCCCCCATGGGACTGGACTAGGCCCTCTGGATTCGGAAGACGGTTGTTTGGCTCACACTGTTTGGGGGCCACCCAGGCAGGGGGATCGGGATCTGACCCTAGTCATGGATAGGCTTCTGGGAATCCGGTGCCTGTGGTGTGACGCCATGCACAGTCTTGGTGCAGTGAGAAGGGGCTTGGATCTGCCTAGGTTCAGTGTGCTGGGCTCTGCTGACTCCCCATGGGAGACCTTGATTTGGGGGATGTGGGGATGTGGGGTGGCTTAGGAGAGAGGGCTGGGGGTGGGAGGAGGGGGGATCTGTGGGTGGTATGTGGAGTAGTGAGTAGAAAATTTCTTAATAAAGAAAAATGAAGAATAAAAAACAATAAAAAAAAAAAAACCCTCCGGGTTTTCCTCTTTCCCTAGACTTCCTCTCTTAACATTTCCTTTCCATCCCACCCTTCCTTATTTTTCCCCTTCCATCCCCGCCTTAATTAAAGTCTTTAGCCTTGGTTTCCCCCTTTCACTCCGTCTGACTGCTGAGTGGTGTTTCATTTTCTGCCACTGGCCTTCGGGGGTTCTTGGGCTGCAATTCTCGGGCCTTCAGAGCATTGTGTGCCTCAGTATCCCCCACTTTGCCCAAAACCCTGCGCCAGTGTTTGCCGGGCGCCTCCAAGATGGCGCCTACTGCTTCGTCCTGCCTCTTGAAAACTGTGTATGCATGCATGTGCACACACACACACACACACACACACACACACACACACACACAGACACACACACACACACACAGACACACACATCTAAATAGAATAAAAATGGGTGGGGAGTGACTGAGAAGACGTTCAGTGTCTAGATTTGGACCCCAAAGTTTTCTGGAAGCTCCTCCTTGAATCCAAGGTCAGGGGAGCCATCAGAGGTGCACTTGATAAACTCTGTCCCTCATTTCTCAGATGAGAAAAAGAGTCTTGGAGTTGGTCATTTCCCCATCTGAAGCCAAGGAACGAGGCGACTGAACACAGAACCAGATACAGGCCTGACTCTTCAGTTGTCACCTTTTGTGTGCTCTTCTAGTGGGATCTGACTGGGTGTCCCAACTTCTCACTAGACCCCTAACACTAACAGCAGGCCCACACGTGCGTTTAAACTAGGCTGCTTGGCCTGAATGCTGGCCCTGGACTTCCTGTGACTCTGGGCTTAAGAACTCCACTGTGTCTCAGTCTTTGTCCCTGGGCTGTGAAGCCCTAAGTAAACACTGCTATATAGACAGTATTATTTTTTGAGATAGGGTCTCTATGTAATCCTGGCTTCCCTGGAACTCTCTATGTAAGCCAGGCTGGCCTCAAGAGATCCACCTGCTTCTGCCTGCTGGGATTAAAGATGTGCGCCACTGCGCCTGGCTCCAGGAATTATTTTTAGTATTTTATGTTTATTAGGATCTCAAGGTGTTAGGTGACACTAGGTTTCTGCCCGTGCTTTTCATGCATTATTTAATTCTCTGATCAACCCTCTTAGGGAAAAACAATTACCTGAGGTACTAAGAAACTGGGGCCATCATTCGGCCCCGGGAGAGAATTCCCTCTCTAGGTCTATACTCAATTCCCTAGCGGCTAGGTCGTTTGTGGTCATAGGGCAAATGGTTGACTTCAGAGCAAAGCAAAGGATGGGGTTGGGGGAAGGGTGAGGGGAGACAGCAGGGCCGCAGATTTTAAAAGTAAAAGGTGAATAAAGCAGTTGGTGGGAATTGGTGAGTTCTAAGGTCAGGGCCTGGCTGCTCTCTAGTGGAGTCTGGGTTTGCCCTTGGTGTGAAGTCACCTGTGTAGGAGCCAAAGTGCAAACCGGGCTCTACCTTTGGGCAGGTTCTGTGCTCTCGGGCCATGTTTTGTTCCTGCTGAGGCAGGCCTCCTTTTCCCTCCGGAGCTCTCCAGGCTCCTTTCTGTAAACCTGGTTGGACATCCCAACTTAATTTGAGCTGGCGAGATCCTGTCCCTGCAGAGGAAGCTGAGGCCTGGTCAGACATTCTGGTAGTAGTGCTGGGCTGGGACTTTTGGGGTGGATTGTGTTGAAAGAGGGTAGATGGTAAGGTACCTGGATCAGCAAAGACCTAGCTAGAGGCAGGCATGAAGTACTGGCCAGAAGCTCGGTGGGACCAGAGGTAAGGAGATTGTAGGTGTTAACCCCAGTAGGATGAAGGGGTTTAACAAAATCGGTGCTTCTTTAGGGTCAGATGTGGCGCATGTGTGTTGGGCATGCCCCACATAGTCAGAGCTCACCACGCTAGGCTTGGTATAGTCTGAGCTGCCACGTGCCAACTGTGTGTGCGAGGCATGTAGTCACATGTGCTGGGGGCTGCACGTGAGAGTGTCAGTGTCTCCTCCCCATCACGAGCATGGGGGTGGTGGTGAGTCACGGGCTCAGCCTTCAGCACCAACTGTCATGTTCCTTCCCCCCAAATTTCACCCCCCCCCACACCCAGCCATGCACCACCTACCCCCACTTAAAGATCTATGTTGATTCTGTATTCCATCCCCCTGCCCTTCTGTGCCCCCTCAGAGAGGCAGCAGTATTCTCTGAGGGAGAAGAAGGTTTCTCTCAGCTCTGGCTCGGCACTCTAGTCTCCTGTCATCTTGCATCCCCTTCTCACTGCCTCACTGCTCAGGTGACTAGAAGATAAAGGTCTCGTCTCCCTTCCCACTCATCTCCACGGGTCCCCAGGAGTTCTCTGTGCATAATGGAGAATTCCCATCCTCCCCCTCTCCAGCATCCTCAGCCTGTCTCCAGAGGCTTTCCAGTTCCATTTCCTCCAGCTAGCCACGCCTGCCTCAGTGGGCCTCTCTGTGTCTATGAGCCGCATGATTGTCCACCTGTGCCCATGGGGCTGTCCCCTGACTCGGTGACCCCTCCTTGCTCTCTGTGTAGGCTTCCTGGTTGCCTCTTCTGCGTACGGCTCCCTATCCTGGAGGAGTCTTTCTGTGTCTGTCCCTCTGTCTCTGGCCTCTCCCTACCTTCAGACACCCCTGTGTCCCTAAGCTGCTTGTCTTGTCTCCTGCCCTCAAGTGGCTTGGTCTTCATTGCCTGGACTTTCCCCTGTCCTTGGCCTTGTGGGGTTTGTGGGCCTTGGCCCACCTCTCTGGGGTCCTGTCTTACTGTTTCTCTGCATTTTTCTCCATGCTCTCTCTCCCCACCAATGCCTCTCATCTCCACGGGCTCCAGTGCCCAGGACTGCCTGGGCAGGGCGGTGGCATGGTGTGGTTGGAGGGGTTGGCCCCGGGGGTGGGCCCTTCATCCAATGCAGCTCGCTCTTCTCATCAGCATTCTCCTCGCAGGGCCCCCCAGCCCCGACCAATACGATCTCCCCCTCCCCTGCTCCCCTCCCTCCTTGCTCCCTGCCTGCCTCCCTCCCTTTCTCCCGCCCGCCCTCCTCCCTGCCTCCCTCCCTCCATCTCTCACCAACCACCACCACCACCACCACCACCACCACCACCACCACCACCACCACCACCACCACCACCACCACCACCACCACCACCACCCGCGCGCGCTCCAGGACCCAGCGCGGGCGAGCAGGCGGGCGGGCGGGCGGCGGCCTAGGGGGGGAGAAGGAGCGGTGGCGGCAGCGGGTAGTAGCGGCCGGCCGGCAGCAGGGAGGCAGGCCCGGCGGGGGACACGGAGCCGCCAGCGGCTGCTGCTCACAGGGGACCAGTCCGCGGCCAGGCCCTCCCACCGAGAGCGGGCCGCCCCCGGGACACCCCACCCTCCTCCGCCTTCCCGTTCCACCTGCTTCTCTCCATCCTCTCCTCCCACCTCGTCCCTCCACCTCGTCTGCCCCCTTCTTGGTCTCTCCAGGGCTGCCAGTTACCCTGTCCTCGCCAGCCCGATCACTGCCCGGCCTCTCCTGGCCCCCCAAGCATGCTTTTCCCGTGGGGACTGAGGGCTTGAGGACTCAGGGCCCCAGCCTCATCCAGGGCAGGGCCAAGGCTCTGGGGGGAGGGGGGGAAGGGGGCGGCCCCCTCCCCCCCAGCAGGCCCTCCCCTCCCCCACTTCTCCCGATGGCCGGCTTTCTTTTCTCCACCCAGTCCTCACCCCCTGTGCCCCCCCCAGGCCGGCCCGGCTAGGGGAGGGGGCGGGGGCCCTTTCCTGGGCCGGCTTCCCCCTCCCCCGGCTTTGCCTGTGCCCCCCTCCCTTCCGTTTTCACCTTCCTCTCCTCCTTTCCTCCCTCCTTCCCCCTCTCCTCTCTCCCCTTCTCTCCTCCATTTTCTCCTTTCCCCTTCCTCCCCTCCTGGCCCGCCCTTTGCTTCTCCACCTGTCCTTCCTCCCCGCTGCTGGGGAGACACCGTTTTGGATTAGTTGGGGGCCACCGCCGGCGGCGGGGGAGGGGGCCCAGTGGACTGCCCTCTCCCCCGGCCCCAGCCTCACCAGCACCCAGAGTCGGAGCATCTCCTGGTTGTCGTTTCTCGGGCCTCGAGGGAGCCCAGCCCTCCGTCCCACCAGGATCCGTAAGTGTCTGCAGGGCGGGGATTGGGCTGGGTCCTGGGTCCTGGAAGGCCAGGCTCCCTGCCCGGCTGGCAGGGCCCCCGCGGTCCTTGCTCCCCGTGGATGGCGAGGCACCTACTCCACCCCTGCTCCGTGCCCTCCCTGTCAACCTCTCATTCTCCACGACCTTTTCTCACCCTTACTTCTGGGCACACACCTCACGCCTGCCCTCAGTCCCGGCTCCCCCCGGCCGGCCGGCCCTGTGGTCTGACTGGCTCTGTGATATCTCTCACTTCACCGGGTTTCTTCGCTTGTTCCTTCTCCAAGCTTTGGGTCCCAGACCCACACTGGCTCCTGACTCGTGTGTTCGTTTTCTCTTTTTCTGCCTTACCACAGGCCCAGTCCCCGGTGCACCTCTTGTCTCCTGGAAATGCCTTTGCATTTTCAAGTCTGCATTTCGCCTGTCTCCCCGGCCTGTCCGACTCTGCCCAACTTCTCGGTGCTCCACTGTTCTCCCAACCCTGTCTCTGTAAGAGATGCTTTCCCATCTAGCCTTCTTCCCACTCGGTCTTTCCGTCCTCTGCCTGATCCTCTCCACCTCCGGGCTTCATCTCTCACTTTGCAACTTGCGTCCCCCAGACCCACTCTGGGACCCCAGTCCCCCCCTGTGGCTTCCCGTCCACTGTTTTCTCCTCTGCTCCCTGGCTTTCACGCCTGCACTCACCCTCCTGGCCTCTCTCTCCACTTCTGAACCGCACCACCTGGCCTTTTTGCTCCCATCCCTCCCTGGCACCCATGGGCTCTGGGATCCTTGGCACTCCTGCAGGCCTCACTTGAGTTTCTGCATCTGTGGGGGCTGCTCTGCCCTTCCAGGGCATTCGCTTAGCCTCAGTTTCCCTCCTGGCTCATCCCTTCTCTAGCCTGTGTGGTCAGCCCTCTCGCTGTGTGCTTCTCCCTCATGCCTTTTCATTCTGGCTTCTGCCCCCCTGGCCTCGGCTTCTTTAGGCTGCCATGCAGCTCATCCCTTGCTCACACTCGTGTGTGCGTGTGTGTGTGTGTGTGTGTGTGTGTGTGTGTGTGTGTCTGTCTGTCTGTCTGTCTGTCTGTCTCAGACAGTCCTCTCTCTCATCAGTTTCTTGTTTCTTTTTTTTGCTCCCCATGGTTCTTTTTGTTTGTTTGTTCTGCTTTTGGAGACAGGGTTTCCTATAGCCCAGGCTAGCCTTGAGCTCACTATGTAGCTGAGGCTGGCTTTGAACTCCTGACCCTCCTGGCTCTGCCTGCTGATTGCTGGGATTACAGGTGTGTGACACCACACCCTGCTCTCCCCCCATGGTTCTCATACTTGTTGTTACTCATCTTTTGGCCCCCTTTCTTCTCCTGTTTGCCTCTTGTCCTTTGCATGTATCTCCCCTTGCTGATGTCTCTCCTCCGACCTGTAGGGCCTGGCCCCCCTCTCCTCAGCTCCTCTCTGTGGCTGGCTCTGTTTCCATCTGTATCTGCCTGGTCCGAGTCTCGGGTCTGTGAGCAGGACCCGCCTGATCCCTGCTCCTTCTTGAGTTCCTCATCTGCTCCTTTGATATATCATTTTTTGTTTCTGAGATAGGACCTAGCTCTGTAGCACAAGGGTATCTGGGGATTCACTATGCAATAGAGTAAGTAGCCTCACACTCACAGTGGTCCCCCTGCCTCCAGAGTGCAGGGATTACATTCTGGTGTGGATGCCTTACTTAGTGCCTGTCCTTTTCCGCACTTAGCTCCAGTCACCACTTTGTGGCTACATTTCTGTGCGTGCCTTCCAGGACCTCTGTGTTTGTTTGCGACCCATAGTCTGTCTATGCACAGTGCCTCTGTCCTTCCATTCCCATCTGTGTCTGCCACCTGTGGGTCCCTGTCCTTCTGCTCTGTCTCAGTCTTTTTGTCTGTAGTCCCCGATCCCCATTTGTTCCAGATGTCCCAGGATGAACCCCCCTCCCTCGTGCCCTTCCCCTTGAGAACTCTCCTTCTAGCTCTCCCAGAATTCCTTGCTCCTCTGTCCTGGTCAAGCCTCCACTTAGTTCTAAATCGCAGTCTGCAGCCACCAGTCTGTTGAGCATGCCCTCCTCTCCCTCAGGCTCTCTTTACCAAAGGCTGAGAGGGGTGTGCGGGAGGACTTTCTCAAGGTCATCCAGGAAGTAGGGGCAAGTGTAGGGCTGATAAGGCACCCTTCCCCTTGGCCTGGACTTTTCTGGCCACCGAAGCCAATTCCAAGCCTTGGCTTGGGACTCTGCCCTTCCCCAGCACTTCTCATTCTGGCTTGTCACCAGCTGAAGTCTTTCCGTGGGCCCAGGTGGGATGCAGGGGGGCACTAGACATACTTCACAGTGCTCTAGGCTCTACAGTGACCCTCTTCCCCTTGGCACATGGCCTATAACCAGGTCCGGGGATCCGTATGCACATCTGGCAAAACACATCCCGCCCAGTGGTTACACTTCCAAAGACCTGGAGTGTCCTGGACTCCCTGAGGCTGGATCTGTGAGAAGACACCCCAGCTCCCCAGAACAGGGTGCAGGCGGTGTTTGGGCACCCACCTCTCGCACCAGTCTTCCAGCTTTCCTTTCTTCCTACCGACTCTCTCTGGTTGCTTGAGCTGGTTTGTGCCTCTCCCCGAGTTCTCTGTCGTTCTCTCCCATGCACTGGCATCCCCTTGTTTGATCTGCCCTTCTCCCTTTCTCAGGCCTCTATCCTTTATCTCACGTCTTCCTGTCCTTCTCTGTCTGTCTGTCTCCCAGTCCTGTCTCTAACCTTCCGCTTCCCTTCTCTGTCTCTGTCATCTTCTGTTCTCATATACATCTATCTGCCTGTTTTCCCCTTCCTTCTGCATTTTCCGTGTCCCTGCATCTTTCATTTTGCAGCCTCCCACCAGATACTTTTTTCTATTTCCTCTTTTTTCTTTCTTCTGTACTCTCTTTTTGGGTTCTTTGCTATGTGGAGTCCCTCCCTCCCTCCTTCCCTCCGTCCCTCCTTCCATCCCAATTTCCCCTCATCAAGTTTCCTAATTCCCAGATACTTTCACCTATCAGACCCTGGGTACCCAGGCCTCTCTCCCATGGGATTGTGGGAACCAGGGACGTCAGGAAGGTGGCAAGTGAGGCTTGGGATGGGGTTGCCTAGCAACCACTGCATCCTCTCCAGCCAGTTTCTGTTGCCTAGTAACGGCTGCCTGCCCAGAGACAGGGGCGGGACTGGGGTGATGGTGGCACATCCCAGTTTCCTGTTGGGGTGGGGCTGGTCCCCCAGAATCACTCCTACTTGAAATTTCTAGCAATTACTGTCTTATCAGTGACCTCTGACCTTTCCATCTTCCATTGCTCAGGACTGTGAGCTTGGTATCCCCAGTGAGCCAGGCCTTTCAGAGCTGGGTTCTTCCCCAACGATGTCTGGGAGGACTATGCTTGCCACCCTACCCAGCACAAGACTCTGCACCCCACATCAACCGTCTCCCTTGGGGCTGGGGGGTCTCTTGCAGGTGGCAAGTGGGGGCCGCGGCAGCTGCATCCCCATGAGGAGGGGAGGAAGATGCCGGCTGAGCTGCTGCTGCTGCTGATAGTTGCCTTCGCCAACCCCAGCTGCCAGGTGCTGTCATCACTGCGCATGGGTGAGGCCCTAGCACCCCACCTCCTCGGGAACTAGGCATATTGGCACCAAAGTGCTCTGTCCCCCTACTTCTTCCCCTGGACCCATGTGCCCAGACACCCTGCTCTCTAGTCTCAGATCCAAGAATCTAGACCCTTCGTGCCTGTACCTCCCTTCAGTCTAGAGGCCACAGATCCAAGACTCCACAGCTACCCTTTCTCAGGGGTCCCAGGACTCTGGCCCCTCCCAACTCCTGTCTCCTCTCAGCTGCAATCCTGGACGACCAGACCGTGTGTGGCCGCGGTGAGCGTCTGGCTCTGGCCCTGGCCCGGGAACAGATCAACGGCATCATCGAGGTCCCAGCCAAGGCCCGAGTGGAAGTAGACATCTTTGAGCTGCAGCGGGACAGCCAGTACGAGACCACGGACACCAGTGAGCGGGGCCGCAGGGGTGTGGGGTGAGGCAGGGCAGGTGGGGCCTCAGCCAGTCACCCCACCCTGGCCTCCTCAGCTCAGGTTTATACTCATCTGCTCACATCTGCCCCTTTCCCTGGCCATGCCTCTTTCTGCTTCAGGGGAGTGGATGCTGCTGGGCTGTGAGGTCTCGGCACTGAGGCCTGGGGCTTTAAAAATCCCTGCTGGGTCAAGAAGGGCATTCTGGAGCAGGTAAGCAGGCGGTGGCGCGTGGCGCTGCTCCTGCACGCCCTTCAGAGCTGGCTTGCCCCATGGGAGGGCCGCAGAAGTGTCTGTTGATGCTCATGGCCCTCATAAACGGCATCATAGTTGGCTTTTTGTTGATATGATAAAAACACTGACCAAAACCAACTTGGGGAGAAAAGGGTCGTTTTAGTTTGCAGGTTATACAGTCCATCATGGAGAGAAGTCAGGGCAGGAACTCAAGGCAGGAACTGAAGCAGAGACCATGGAGGAGTGCTGCTTACTGGCTTGCTCTTCCTGGCTTGTTCCGATTTCTCTCCTGTATACCCCCAGAGCGACCTACCCAGGGGTAGCACCACCCACGGAGGGCTGAGCCCTCCTTCTTCAATCATTAATCAAGAAAACACCCCATAGACTTGCCTACAGGCCAGTCTGATAGAAGCCGTTCCTCAACTGAGGTTCCTTCTTCCCGGATAGCTGTAGTTTGTGCCAAGTTGACAGAACCAACCAGAGCACTTGCCCCAGCTGGGCTGGGATCATAGCTCTTTGCAACCTTCTGTATTAAGACATGTTTTATGCTGGGCATGGGGGCTCACACCTGCAGTCTGGGCACATGGAAGGCTGAGGCAGGAAAGTTGCAGTGAATTTTAAGTGATTCATGGCTACAGAGTTCTAGGCCAGCCTGATCTATTGCGTAAGATCCCGCCTGAAAAACCAAACCAAACCCAAACTCAAACAACAGCTTGTTAGGCCTGAGATCAGGGACAGCTTAGCATCCATGATACATGGGTTTGATCCCAAGCACAACAAATAAACAACCGTGGAAACAGTTTTCTTTCCTTACCGGCCTTTACACCAGCTTTGTTGGTTGTGGGTATTTCAAATCACCGAGAGGAGGAATGGGGTAGACTGCTCAGGTCTTTTTGACATCGTGGATACAGTCTGGGAGACGCTGACATGGAGGCCGAAGAGGCAGGTGGTAACAGGCATGCACTTAGGGTTGAGTCAAGGAACAGTGTGGGGCGAAGCCATCTTGGCTAGCTGGAGTCAGTGTGTGTTGAGGAGATCCTGAAAATGAAGCCAAGTCAAAGGAAATCGGGACCCAGAGTTAAAGGGAGATTCCTGGCACGTCTATAGACTAACTGGACCCAGCCATTCCTGACAGAATCCCGGGAAATCATGAACTCCTAAATGTAGCCATGTCTGAAATTAGTTTGTAATCCTTTTAGCGTGTGATCTAATTTATATTCTCATCCTTTCTCTGTCTTGCTCTTCTTCTCTCCATTACCCCCATGGCCTCATACATTCCTAAGCAGGCCTTCTAACATAACCTCTAGCCTCAACCAACCCATCCTGAGTTTCTGTCATGGCTAACTTAAAACATCACATCTCAATCCAAACTTGTTTCTCCTATGTCCTCTGTGTTGAAGGTCCCACCATTTGCACAGACCGACGCCTAAAAATGGCCCTTGTTTTCCATCTCTCTCCTGAGAGCCACTCAACTCATCTTGCCTCTTACTTGTCTCCAGATTCTCTTCCCGTCCGTCTCCTCTCCATCCTCTGCACCCCTGCTCTACTTCAGGATGGCCAGCTCAGGCCTATACCGCCTACCTCATTCATCACACATAGCCAGCTTCAAGTGCAAGCTTCACCCTCCAGGGGGGCATCGTGGGTAGAAAAGTGACTGAAGTGCTTGCAAGGTGGAGGAAGTCAGCCCCTGGTTTGCAGTTCAGAAGGAGGCCCACAGAGCTGGGCATGGTGGTGAAGGCTTGTGGACTCAGCATTCAGAGACCCAGGCAGGAGGAATATGAGTTTAAGGCCAGTCTGGCTTACATAGCAAGATCCGGAACAGTCTGGGCTGTACAGTGAGACCTTTCCTCAACACACACACACACACACACACACGCACACGCACACGCACACGTGTTCCTCTTGGCTTGGCCTTTCTCTCTGTGGCTTTGTCTCTCTGCCTCCCTCTGAGCAGGCCAGGGACTGGTCCTCTGGAATCCAGGCTGGTGGAGGAGGACCCCACAGCTCTGAGCCTCTGGGTCCTCTCCTGGACCAGGACTGTCTCCTGTGGGTGGGGAGGGAGCAGAAGCAGAGGCTCCCTGACTCTGGTCTCTTCCCTTCACAGTGTGTCAGATCCTGCCCAAGGGGGTCGTGTCTGTCCTGGGACCCTCCTCCAGCCCAGCTTCAGCCTCCACCGTGAGCCATATCTGTGGGGAGAAGGAGGTGAGGTGGGGCATGGGGGGTGGAGAATGGGGGCGGGGCTTGGATCCCTGGCAAGCAATGCCTCCCTTTCTGTCCAGATTCCCCACATCAAGGTGGGTCCTGAGGAGACGCCCCGCCTTCAGTACCTTCGCTTCGCATCTGTCAGCCTGTATCCCAGTAATGAGGACGTCAGCCTGGCGGTCTCCCGAATCCTCAAGTCCTTTAACTACCCCTCGGCTAGCCTCATCTGCGCCAAGGCTGAGTGTGAGGAGAACTGGATGTTCTCTTAACGTCTCTCTAGGCACCCCTTCCCAAGAACCCTAATGTCCCTCACAGTTCCCTGGTCCCACCAGGCTCCTTCTAGTTCCCACTGTCTCTCTCCCCTTTAGGAACTGGGACATCTGGTTCCATAGAACCCCTCTTGTCCCAGAGAGACCCGTGTGAGTCACCGATAGTGAACCTTTTTCGCCTAGCTTTCACCAGGCTTGAGGGGTGGCAGAGGGCAGTGCTGGTGCATAACTTTAAAAAATGTATTAATTTTTAGTTAGTGTACAAGATCTCATCTGACATTTCCGTATGTATTCATCATCTCATTTTGCTCGTAATTGCCCCCTGCATGCGACTTTCAGTCTAGGGGAGGCCTCAGGCCACTGAGCTCTTGGGACATGGCGGGTACATGGGCTGCCAGGAGTCGTGTGGGGCCTTCGGAAAGGGTTCTGACCGTGTGGGAGGCTCAGAGCCCATATTCTAAGAACGCTACCTCTAAGCTGAATATGAAACATTGGGCCAGTCCATTCTGATCGAGGATCCTGTGGGACAGAGATGGAAGGCTCCAGGGTGCAACCCTAAAGGGGTCCCGAGGTTAGAGTGTGGAACAGTGAGGTGAGGGTCAGGGAAGCCTTAGAGGTTTCCAAGCAGGAGCTCGGGACGAGGGGACAGGGTCAAATCTGTGTCATGAGAAATGACAGACTGCATAGGGATACACGTGCGTCCGAACGGCGGGAGGCAGGCGATGTGGGTTAGGTGAAATGAAGGCAGTTGGATGGAGAGCTAGGCCTCCTTGAGGAGAAAAGTTGGACGGGGTAGGGCAGGGTGCTCAGGCTGTGAGTGACACCAGAACTTGGTAGGGAAGAGGAGAGCAGCTTGTTCAAGAACACACTTTGGGTGCAACACTCTTTGAGGTGTTCAAGTGTGGTGGTCTGGGGGTGGGTTGTGAGTGTGGAGGTTCGGGGAGGGCACTGAGCTTTGGAACTTCTAGAAGGAATTTCTCTTTCTGGAGGTTCTTACTGAGCACTTGCTGAATGTCAGACTCTCATGTTAGGAGGACAGCCAGGAGAGGGGTAGACTCAGATGGTCATCCTTGTTAAACCTCCCTTCCAAAGACAGACATCAGGCAACCCCCTTATGGTTGGTAGAGTTAAGTTCTCTGGGGAAAGAAGGAGGTCATAGGGATTGGAGTGGGGGTAGGGGCAGTAGCAGGCGGGGGCCTCTTAGAGAAGGTGACATCCATGGAAAGAGCTAGAGCAGGTCAGGGTTAGCCGTGGAGGAACCTGAGAAATAGGGCCCCAAGTAGAGGGAACAGCCAGGCTGAGGCCACAGGACAGAAGGCTGACTCTGTGAGACAAAGAGGAGACCCATGTGGCTGGAGCAAGCAGAGACACTGAGTGGCAGTGAGGAGGTGAGGCACTTGGCACAGAGCAGGGCCACATCTGCTTCCATCACTCTGGCTGCTGTTTGGGGAGCAGACTCAAGGGAGCGTGGCCAATGCAAGAGGCAAGAGGTGGCAGTGGCTTGCGCCAGGGCAGTGACCATGGTGTGACAGGTCTGATAGGATCTGATGTGTTTTGAAATAGAGACTGGGTAAGTGAGGAGGAAAAAAAAAAAAAGAAGAACCCAGTCTGCCATCAAAGTTCTGGCCTGAGCAAGTGGCACATCGTGATTGCCCATCACCCGAACGAGGGAGACAGGCAGAGGGGACAATTAGCCGTTATGTCAGACATTCCAGTGTGTGGTCAGGAAGGGGTAGGTCAGACATCTAGAAATCTGGGAAGATATCTCAGAGGGGATTTTACTTAGGGAAATCTCTCAAAGCGTTAAGTCCCCAAGCCCAGTGCCCCCAAGGACCCCAGCTGTTCCAGACACAGCCGCTCCACCTTCTTGGAATGCTCTCCAGTTTTCCGCCCAGCTGCCCCATGCTGGGAGAGGGGAGGAACATCTGAGGGTGCTGTGTCTGGGCAGGCAGAAGGAAGGGCTCTAACATGGGGCCTGGCGCTCCTTCAGGCTTGCTGCGATTAGAAGAACTGGTGCGAGGTTTCCTCATCTCTAAGGAAACACTGTCCGTGAGGATGCTAGATGACAGCCGGGACCCCACGCCGCTCCTCAAGGAGATCCGAGATGACAAAGTGTCTACCATCATCATTGACGCCAACGCGTCCATCTCCCACCTCGTCCTCCGTAAGGTGGGCTCCCTCGTGTTTCCACAGAACTGGAGGACAGATACCTCAGAGGTGGATTGTGGGTTTCATAGGGTCTGTTTGTTTTATAGCTTACTGGTCACATGACCCAGAATAGTCTTTTTTTTTTTTTTTTTTTTTTTTTTTCTGTGAAGTGCAGTAGGTCCTACTTCTTTGGCTTATACCAAGCCTGCAGCAGGGAAAACCCCTAGAGTTGGCCCAGACTAAATTCTGAGTCATCACTCTTGAGGACTCTCTTGTTGCTGTGATTTGTTTCTTTCTAAAAAGATTTATAATTTTTAATTATGTTATGTGGGGGGGGGGGGAGAGTGTGTGTGCATGTAAGTGCCGGTACCAGAGGTGTGGGATTCCCCTGGAACTGGAGTTACGGTATGTTGTCAGCCATGTGGGTGCTGGGAATTGAACTCAGGTTCAGCAGTGCACACTCCTAACCGCAGAGCCATCTCTCCAGCACCTGTTGTTTTTGAGGCGAGATCTCTCTGCGGGTAGTTTAGGCTGACCTGGGACGTGAGGATTTTAGGGCTTTTCTTGGAGCTCTGTGTTGAAGGGCCCACGAACATCCTTAACTGGGGCTCTTCCCTATCGTGCAAGGCAGATATTTTGAACATTGTATAGACATAGAAGCTATACATGTGGAGGCCAGGGCCCAGAGCGCTAGGACCTCTCCCCATGGGCCTAGCACATCCCGTCCATCCGTGAGGCGTACTCATTAATCATTCATTCACTTCCCCTGTGCTTAATTTTTCTTGATAATCGAATTTGTATTGTTTTTCTCCATTTGTTTTTCATTTGTTTTTCTCTAAATTAAAACCATATGTCACTGCTGATCTCAGCCCACGGGAAGAAGTGTCAAGCAGACTCTTGAGGATATAGAGGGCTTAGGGAAGAGCTCTGAGTTGACAGGCTACCTGGGCAGAGATCTCTCCCATGGAACTGTGTGCATCTTCCCCTTCCCCGATACCCATGTGTCCAAGCCCTGCCCTTACTCCACTAGTAGTAAAAGCTGGAGCCCTGTATTGTTAGACTTCTCGTGTGGGGTCAGGGTGGCGGTTATCCAGCCTGTCCTCCTCGGGGATCATAGGGAAGAGATCGCTCAAAGAATGAACCCCGGGAGTCTAACCGATTGCCTTCAACTGCAGAATTCCTCCCCTCCCTTCCCTCCTCCCCCTATCCTCTCTCCCTCCCTTCCCCTCCCTCCCTCCTCTTTTCTTTTGATGTTTCTGGGGATTGAATTTGGGGCCTCATAACTGTTCGTCAAGGGCTCTGCCACTGAGCTCGATCCTGAGTCCGCTTTTTAGTTTCGTTTCAGCCAAGATCCTCCAAAGTTGCCCAGTGTGGCCTTACGCTCACTCTGTAGCCCAGACAGGCTTTGCACTTGCAGTCTCACTGGCTTAGCCATCTGAGTAGCTGGGATTAGAGGCCTGTGCCCCCAGACCTGGCAGCCGGGTGCTTTTCTAATGGATGACCGAACAGGTTGAGCCCTAAACATTGGCAGCGCCAGTGGTTTTGGGTGACTTAGGGGTAAGGTTAAGGTCTCTGTCCCTGCCTGCCCTGTTTCCCAGGCTTCCATTTGTCTCCAGCAGGAAGTTGTGAGAGCCTTCATAGGAAGCAGTAGACATCCGAGGCCCCCATTCTCTGTTGGGAAAACTGTTTTCCCTGGCCCCAGCCAGGGCGGTGGGCCGCAAGGGACCCTCACTTGTCTCCTGCTCGCTCTTTCTGTCTGGATGTCTCCTCACCAGGCCTGCCTCTAAATCTCTCTTCCCCTCTTGGGGTCCCCCACACACACCGTTCTCTGCCTCTTGGCCTCTCCTGTGTTCTCCAGGCTTCGGAGCTGGGAATGACCTCAGCGTTTTACAAGTACATCCTCACCACCATGGTGCGTACCCCGACCGATGCCCCTCCCAACTCCCGTCTACCATACCTCCCTGCTCCAGTCCTGTCTCAGGCCTCACCCCTCTTCTTGGTCCCAGGACTTCCCCATCCTGCATCTGGACGGTATCGTAGAGGACTCCTCCAACATCCTGGGCTTTTCCATGTTCAACACCTCCCATCCCTTCTACCCGGAGTTTGTGCGCAGTCTCAACATGTCCTGGAGAGAGAACTGTGAAGCCAGCACCTACCCTGGGCCTGCGGTGAGCACGTGGATACCCACTCGCACTAAGACACGCTGACTCTGGAGAGAGGGCTTGTGGGTCTCCTTCTGATCATACCAGAATCCTCTGGTACCCAAGACCTCAGAGTGAGGCCCCATGATGAGTCCGGCCCGAGCCTCTTCTCCACATCTCAGGGCAGGCATTTGTACTCCCCGTCCCCGCCCCTGTTTCCTGTGCATTTCCCCACAGACCCAGCAGCTTCCCCCTCACAAAGTTTTTGCCAAATGTAACTTGTACTTCCGATTTTTATTTACTTATTTATTTAGAGGCAGGGTCCCACTATTTAACTCTCAGCGCCGCCACGCCTCTCTTTTGTTCTGAGGCGCGCCGTCCCCTTCATCCCCAGAGCTGTGCTCAGGGTGGAGAGAGCGGTTCCTCCCTTCTGCAGCTCAGGAAGGAGTTGACACGTGACCCGCTGATTCAGTCGGGAAGTACCAGGAGTGGGCTCCCAGCTCAGAGGCACCTGCCTTCCACGCCCAGGATCAACACCTGAACTCTCTTGTCTCCTCGCCCGCTCTGTGTTCATCCTTCCCATAACATAGCGTGCCCCAGGCACAAGCAGATGTTACCAGTGGCTGTCTGGCCTGCTTACTTTAACCATGCAGACCTGGCTGTCTCAGGAAGACAACTGGCCCTCGAGGCTGACTCCTCTCAGACTAGCCAAGCATGGTGGCATATGCCTATAATCCCAACATTTGAGAGTTAGAAACAAGTGGATCAGGAGTTCAAGACCAGCCTCAGCTATATATGGAATTCCAGTCCAGCCTGGGCTACATGAGACCCTGTCTTATAAAAACCAAAACAACAATAACAACAAAATAACAGACTCTCAGAAATAATCTTCTCCAAATAGACATGCTATGTGTAGCCCCACCAAAGCACAAGGCAGTACATTTTCTTCACTATCACTCATGTCCCCAGAAAGACACCACAGTCCGTCCCGGCCGGCACCCCCACACACATCAGTTTCCCACACCTGCAAAGACAGGCACCTGAGGGTTGGGGCGACTCCACGGGGACCTTGGGGGGCTGACACTTTCTCGCCCTGTCTCGCCTCCCGCTACACTCAGCTCTCTGCAGCTCTGATGTTCGACGCCGTGCACGTGGTGGTGAGCGCTGTCCGAGAGCTGAACCGAAGCCAGGAGATTGGCGTCAAGCCACTGGCCTGTACTTCGGCCAACATTTGGCCCCATGGGACCAGCCTCATGAACTACCTGCGCATGGTGAGCCAGGAGCCAGGGGGCACCTTGGAGGTGGGGAGCAGCGGCCGCCTCAGGCAGGGGCAATGACTGTGTCTACCCTGCCCACCCTCTGCCTTCTCCCTATCCTGACTCTCCACTCCCCGGGCCTCCTCCTCATTCCTGTGTCCTGTCTGTCCATGCCGCTCTCCCTGTTGGGGTTATGTCCCTTTTGGGGCCTTGTTCCTTTGCGTTCATTCTCTTGCCTATGTGCCGTTGTGCTGTCTTTGATCCTGCTCCGTCCGTTCCCTTCACCTGTCTCTGCGCCTTTCTCTATGGCGTCTCGTCCCTGCCTGGCCTTTCCGCCTGTCTCTGGGCCCTGCCTCCCATCCCTCTGCCCCGCCTCCCGCCCTGCTAGGTAGAGTATGACGGGCTGACCGGGCGGGTTGAGTTCAACAGCAAAGGGCAGAGGACCAACTACACGCTGCGCATCCTGGAGAAGTCCCGCCAGGGCCACCGTGAGGTAAGCAGGCCCAGGGTGACACCAGCGCCCTGCTGGGATACGGCCCATAAGGCTTCCAAGAATATGAACAGAGTGTGTGCTGATGATGTCTCCTCTGTCCCCAGATAGGGGTGTGGTACTCTAACAGGACCCTGGCCATGAACGCCACTACCCTGGACATCAACCTGTCACAGACTCTAGCCAACAAGACACTAGTGGTCACGACTATCCTGGTGAGTGACCCAAATGGGGTGGGGAGCAGTAGGTGGAGAGACCCTGGTGCTGGATCTTCCCTGAACATCTTCGAAGACTGTCATAACCCCTCGGGATGGGGAGGAGTCCCTCAGGTGGCGCAGGGCAGTGTACCGTGTAACTGGGGGGCGGGGCACAGTGTCCCATGCACTCAGCAACCTCAGACTATGACCAAGGTGTCACCATTGCAGACACAGCCAGAGCAGGGGAGGGTACAGGCTCTGCAGTGGGGACCAGGTTCTGTGATAGGTGCTTTTCACCGCCGTTGCTGGAACGAATATTTTGTCACACTTGCCAATCTAATGCGTCTATAGATGCCAGCTTGTTGGGTGTCCACCTTGAAAATGTGGGAACCGAGGGTCAGAGAGGTGAAGTAACAGCAAGTGTGTGGCAGAGCCGGGACTGGAAGCCTTGTCTCTAGGGCTGGAGTCTGAGTCATAAACGGTGTGCTTTGAAGTCCAGCCCTTGACCCTGAGCACCAAGCAAGGAGACCACGCGAGGTCAGGGAGCTCGCGAGGGGCTGGGATCTATCTCCATGGGTAGAGTGCTTGCCTAGCATGTGCGAGGCCTTGGGGCCGGTCCCCTTCACCACAGGTCCTGCTTTCAGGAGGTGGGGACAGGAGAATCAGGAGTTCGAGGCCAGCCTGGGCTACATAAAATCCTGCCTCCAAAAACAAAACAAAACAACAAAAAGTCTATTGGGACCCACTGTGCACTAGACCTTTTCTAGGCGTCATTTTTGATCTCACAGCTGCTCCATGATGGAGTGGTTTTGTTTTCCTGCCGGCACTGTATGACACAGGGGGTTACACACAGAGCCTGGTGGGCAGGAGCTCTCCTGAGCAGCTGGGACTGGGGGCTGGACAAGCCAGGTGGCTTCGCTCTCCTCAGCAGCCAAGTCCATGGCCTGCAGCCTGCCCTGTCCACATGCTCAGCAGCACCGAGCTGGGCAGCTAATCACTGTGACACAGCAGTTCAGAGGGTCTCCAGAGGGTGTTAGGAGCCCTCATTAGCAGCCGGTCCCCAGGGAACTTCTGCCCTAAAGCGGACCTCAAATACCCCTGGAGAAGAGCCAGCGAGACAGTTGTAGAGGGACAGATGGCTTGCAGACGGGAAACCAGACACCTCCTGATGGCCACACTGAGGGCCCTTGAGGCCTGGTCAGTGGGGGGTTGTGGGCATGTATGTGCACACTGTGCTCTTTCCCCAATACATGCTGGAATCAAAAGAGATGAGGCCTTGGAGGGGAGCAGAGCTAGAGGTCAGCGGGGAGGATTTCAGGAGAGTCCCCGAGGCCTGAGAACCAATACTATTCTTGATTCATGAACTTCATTCTTTTTCTCAATTCCTTAAATATTTGCTGTAGCTGCTGTGTCCCTGGCCAGGCCCCAGTTCTAGAGACACAGAAACGAGTCAACAGGTGCTTTTAGGGGGGAATGCGGGCGGGGAGGTGATGTCCCCGTGATGGAGGGGGCACGCTGACGCCAGGACACTCATTCCAAACCAGGTCACGAGGGGTTCCCAGAGATAAAGACTGACAAAGAGGCTGGAGGAAGGGCTTCCAGATGAGGTACAGGAGGGCAGAGAACATATGGTCAGCAGGGCCATTCAGATGTCTGTTTAGATGAACACATCCCATCGGTTCATCGACATTTTCTATTTTATCTATTGTATTTTATTATTGAGACAGTGCCTCCCTATGTAGCCCTGGCTGCCCTGGAACTCTATGTAAACCAGGATGACCTCGAATTTACAGAGGTCCACCTGCCCCTGCCTCCCAACTTCTGGGATTAAAGGCACAGTGCACCACCACCATGCCCAGCCAGATGTCTGGAGCATGCATCCCTAGTGAACATGGCTGTCAGCAGTCCTGTGGCTGAGCACAATGCCCAGCCTTCAGTTTTCAGAGCCCTGAGCTCAGCACCTTCGTGGAAGCTGCTCTCAGATGAGACGGAGGTAAGGGGAGGTTCCGGGACATTTGAAGATTGCCTAACCAGAAGGTGTCAGAGCTGATCTGAGGTAACAGAATCCATGTGCTTGTCCTTGGTGCCACATTGAGTCACTTTCTGCGTCTTCCTGCACGCAGGGTTGTATTGTGGGCTTGACACTGCCATCTACACCCGTGTGACCTAAGTGTCACTCTCTTCTGTGATCCTGGTTCCTTTACAGGGAGGGGGAAAGGACTGGAGAGATGGCTCAGTGGTTAAGAGCACTGGTTGCCCTTCCAAGGATCTGGGTTCAGTACCCAGCACCTACGTAGTGGTTAACAACGTCGGTAACGCCAGCTCCCAGGGCTCCGATGCCCTTTTCTGGTCTCCAAAGGCACTGCTATGTGCAGTACACAGACATACATGCAGGCAAGACACCCATACACGGAAAACAATAACATTAAATTTGATAAGCTAAGTGTGGTGGCACACGCCTTTGATCCCAGCACTCTAGAGAGAGGCAGGTGGATCTCTGTGAGTTCAAGGCCAGCCTGGGCTACAGAGTGAGATCCAAGACAGCCAGGGCTACATAGAGAAAGCCTGTCTCAATAAAAACAAACAACAACAACAACAAAAAGTGAGAGGATAAAGTACTCCGAACAGAGAACAGGGTGTGGGTTAGGTCAGGATCCCATACATTGCATTCCAAGTATTCATGCACATGGATTTGGATCCTAGCTCCATAAAAAGCAAACAGCTTGTCAGGAATGGTCTAGAACCTTCCCTATTTTATATTTTTGTTTTTACTTTCAAGAGGCCATCTGTCCCTATCTTGTCTCCTGCTGGGGATCAAACTCAAGGGCCCCTCACTGGGGGATTCTAGGCAGGGGCTCTACCACTGAGCCACAC